GCTAACATGATGTGTCTTGTGCTCCTTAAACTCGCTTTGACTTCTCGTCGTTGGATGCGTGTAGTGGAACTGACAGGAAGCAACCTTTCCTGGATTTTTCCAATGAAAATTACCCTATTTATAGGCAACACTCATGCATAAAGTGTGAGTAATTTTATGTATTTCTCTGCACAGGTTATCAGTCACGTCTCATTTCTTCACCATTTCCTGTCGTGTTTTTTCATAATGCTTTTTATAGTGTTCCCGTGAATAAGAGTTTCCATAGCTTTGTATATTCTCAATGGAATATAGTCTGCTGTGACAGAAATGTCTGGCAATGTTTTGTTTGGCATCTTCGAGGCATGCTCCACCTGTGAGGTGCTGCTGAAATAGATGGAAACTGGAGATACACACTGCCACTGTCAGCTTTCATATTGATTTTCTGAATTTTACATACTGTAGCTTGGTGTTCATAGTCTGCTTTTCTGCTGAGTAATTAAAGACCTAGTATTTCTGTGACATGCAATAGTGGATATAACAAGACCAGATCAAAACCTGGACCATGTAAAAACACACTGGAGGGCTTTTAATTTGAAATAGGGGGTGGCAGCATTCACTTATTCACGGTCTTTGTCCTTGCTGTTGTGATCTAGCTTAAAAAATCATGGTAATGCATGTTAAAATGAAGAGCAAATACACATAACACAACCCTCCCGTCCTCAGCTCCAGTAGATGATGTTCAGCCCCATGTGGCTGGTGGAGGCTGCAAAGTCATCTGCCACCATTAAAGCCTAGCTTCCACCAGTAACGATAGTTTGTAAAACGTCTCATTGGCCCTTAATCGACCAAACCGTTTGGTCAGCCTCTAGTTACAGGGTGTTCCTAAGGTCATGGCACCTGTTCCAACATCCAATTTCCACTTTCTCTTTTCTCTTTGTCTTCTCTTCTCACTTTTATGCAGTCATTACAGTGGTGAAGTTGTTAAATTTTACTCATGTGGAGGTGCTCTAGTTAGCTATCGACCTTGCAAATTCCCCAGGCTACCATGGCACACTGTTTTCCTTTCAGAAGAAAAAAAGCCAACACTTGCGTCACAACTCACTCCCACCAGTGTTGTAACTTCATCACTCACTCACTCAGTGACGGACAGATGCTTGCGTTCATGGGACTGGCCTTGCATGCTGTGCTCCAACCAAAACATGACAACAGCCTACATTTAGTTAATCAGTGGAGCTGACAATGGGGAGTATTGTGCTGATTGCTGTAGGTATTGTGTCACCACGAGGCTACTCAGGCTGAATGTAAACAGGAAAAAGTTTAATTAAGTAGGAGCTTAAACTACCGTAATGTGTCCCCCTTGGCCTCTCGGAATTTGTAATTGTTCTGTGTACTATAGACCAACTAATGAATGGATCAATCAAGAAAATAATTGGGAGATTGATGTATAATGAACATAATTGTAAGCTGCAGCCCTGCATTAGATAATATGCCAGTGTAGTGTTTACAGCTTGTTGCTCTGCCCCCAAGTGGTCAAAAAATCCGCTATGCAGGTTTAATTCGAGACATCTGGGGCCTTAAAATCCTCCATAATATGCCCTGTGTCTCATTTCTCTCTCTTCATCAATCATTTATTTGGGTCTGTCTCCCCTGCATACTCTATCTCTTCCTCTGCAGTTTTCTGCATACCTCTTCCTCCCTCTAACTCTGTCAGTAGCACGTTACACAGCTAATTTAGACGCCTTGGGGGATGGTATACTTGTCTCTGAGTGCACATCCACTCAGTCTGGAAGAATGCAGAGAAGAAGAGGAAGGAGGGGAGTGGCTGCTGATCAGTAGGTTTGACGTGACTGGTGCGGAAGCTGGGACATGGTTAGGCATAATCACCTCTTACCATGGCAACAGAAGTGCATGTGTGTGAGAGGGAGAGAAAAGAGATAATCAAGAGGAGAGGTCATGGGTGTGTGTGTGCTGGGAAAGGTCAGGTTTTGGATTTATTTGTGTCCATTCAGGAAGTGGAATGTAACCTGCTAACATCTGATGCGGGTGCAGACATCTTTACAAATACAGTGGCCTACGTTTGTGTTTTAAAGTCAGTGTAGGTGGTATCAAAGTGATAGACAAGAAAAGAGCTCGAAACATATAGTTAATTCATATTGTCACAGTTTGAAATTTGGGGAAATGTCTGTAAAGTGATACACGAGCCATTCAGAAATAATCCATTTTGTTTAGTGGTGCAGTTACAGAAAAAAAACCCATGGTATTGTGGGTTATTTTCAGTAGGGATGTCCCGATCCAGCTTTTTCACTTCCGATCCGATACCGATATTACAGCCTTGAGTTTTGGCCGATACCAATCCGATCCAAGCTCACTTATTTTGTTGTCAGTCATGTTAGAAAAGGTTTGATCAAGCAATATTACTCTAACAAGAACAACTACTTAATCGGGTTAGTTAGAATGATCCACAACAGTTGGTATGAGAAACTGACCTGTTTATTGTTAACAGGGTTAAATAAACAAACTTTAAATTTGAACATTAACATTAAATAAAAAATATAGCTGGTTTGCTTTGGCTGCTTTGGCCCCTTAATAAACAGAAAATAAATCAACACAAGAAATCTTTAAAATGTCTAACAATGAAATTAAAATAGCAGCAAGACTCCACACATTTGTGCTTTGCTCCCCTAATAAATAAAAAAAAAAATTAACACCACAAGACATTGTTGGCATTTAACAAACAATGCAGCCTTTCCTTTTCAGTTATTTTAGTAGTGTTTTTGTAGTCCACCCATGGCTCCAATTTCACTAGCTGTGCCCAAAACAATGCCATCAGTGCTCTTTACTTAAACAGTAAGAGTGTAAACCAAATAAAAATATCACTCTCAAAAAACCAGAGCAGAAAACAGTCAGTTAACTAAGTTGACCGTTACTCTTCCTACCCTTCGTGTGTCTGCCGTCTGCATGCTGGCCTGGTGGATTGATAGTAAGAGCTGGAGCGGATCACTGGAATGGACTGCTTGAATCGCGGCGCGCTGGGCTGGCCAGAAAACCTGGAGCGGACTCCGTGATCGGAGTTCTTGGATCGGCATTTTTCCATGCAGTCCGATCCGATGCCGATGCCCGTTTTTTGCTAATATCGGCGGCCGATACTGATCCGAATGTTGGATTGGGACATCCCTAATTTTCAGTGTAATTTTTTAGATTGAGGAGATTATTCTGTAAATGTGAAATGTGTTATCTTGTTTTTTTAAAGCAGTAGTTTCACAGTTTGGGAAATACCCTTATTCATGTTCTCGCTGAGAGTTAGATGAGAACATGGATACCACTCACGGCGCTTTATCTGTGGCTAGAGCAGGAAGTTGTTTATCTTTGCTTAGCTCAGCATCAAGACTGAGAGCCGTTAGCTGTCGAAAAAGCTAAAAAATGCAAAAACCAAACCATAAAGAGCAAAGAAGGACTAGAAACCTTTTGCATTTATGAACATGCTGAGAGGAAGTCCCCTTGAGAGGCCCTCAAATTCTGGATATAAGTGACCTAATGTGAAAACCTCCTGCTGTTACCCATCAAAACATACCAGACAGGCATGTGGTTGACGTCTTATGTTAATGCAGAAACTCAGATGACAGCAGGCTAAACTTTACTCATAGCAAATGGTGTCAATATAGGATTTAGAATTAAGCCGCTGCAGTTGTCGTAAAAAGAGATTCTGCGCACCTGTTTGTGATATTTCTCACAAGAATAACAACAGCCATCTTTCTGTACCTTTATCAGCTCTCACCAATCACACACTGAAACTCTAAACATCAAACTGATCACGGAAGCATTGAACATAGTGCCTGATAAACCTCTGCACTATCCAGTAAACAACCATACACACACAGTAACAGTGTGACCTTTTTTTCCCCCCTTGTAAACAGTTTGTAAGCAAAACTGAGTGCCCATCAGACTGATTTAGATGCATTAGTGGCATGGAAAATTACTGTTGGTTGATTTTGGGGTGAACTGTCCCTTTAAGTAATGAAGAAAAGGAAATATATGGCACTGATGTTTAAAAGAATCAAATTAAAAGTGACTATTTACTACACACACAAAGTATTGACCGTAAAATACTCACCACCATCCCTCTTTTTGTCCCCTTGTCCTCCTCTTTCCCCTATCACCTTTCTGACTTCCTGTCTCTCTCTCTGTCTCTCCTATAGGTCTTCCCTCCACCCCTCTCCTCCCTGTGGAACATAGGATCGCCCTGTCATCACCCCCTCCTCCCTGGACAGGCCAGCAGAAGGATTACTGGATCGCCTTTCATCCTTAATTCCTCGTCTCTCTCTGCCCATCTCCCGCCTCCACCACTTCCCTGTATCATAATGGATACCTGGATGATTTACGAAGTACTCTAGTGCCCTAGAGCAAGGCATTGCTCTGCTGTTGACACTCGAGTGTTAGTCAGGATGGACAGGCATCCTAGGGTGTTGAGAGAGATAAATCAACATCAGTGTTCACAGAGGAAACGTGATATCCATGACTGATCTAAGAGAGTTTAACTATGTTTCAAACTGCCTCATGACACCTCGATTGACCACTAGTGGATTCTGGGAGTTCTGAAGTGCCTTGCCCAAGGGAACGCCAGCAGGGCCAAGAGCATGTACATCAAGGGACCCTAAATCTTTTTTTTAAGTTGCTTTGGACAGCTTCTCTTGTGATTACTCCATTCATCTGTCTATACCTCTATACCTCAATCATTTCTCCTTTTGTCCTTGCTTCATCTTCCCAGCATTCATTGCTTCTTCAGTTTGGTCTGGTTCACTTTTAAGCTAAAGGGCCCAAGTGTCCTTTTCCTTTCTTCCTTCTTCCCTCACTTCCTTCCCCCTCCCACCCCCTTTGTTTTGTTTTTTGCCTCACCCACCTGGCCTCCACCATTCGCCCCTCTCTCGCAACGGCCGTCCTCCCCCCTCGCTCCCGCCCCCATTCATCCTCCCCCTCCCTCTCCTCCTCCGCCCCCTCCTCCCCCCACCACCATCATCATCACCACCACCATCCTCACCCCCAACCCCACTCCCCCCACCACCACCACCATCACCACCACCACCACCAACTCTCGTCCTCTCTCCCTCGCTTCTCGCCCCCTCCCTTCTCTGCCTCCTCTTCTGCGGGAACCATGGCGATGGCTGCCACCGCCTCCTCCTCTCCCTCATCCTCGTCTTCCCCCAACGGCAGCGCCCGGGAGCACCTGCTGGCGGTGCGTCGGCGCACCCCGCACACTCGGCCATACACGATTGGTCCGGACAACCTGCGCAGTCTGTCGGTGCAGGGCGGGAGCTCCACCTCTTCGTCCTCCTCTGCTATGTCATCAGGGAGTCAATCAGAAACGGCAGGGGTGGGACTCCAGAGGGCCAACAGCGACACAGACCTGGTGACATCAGACAGCCGCTCATCACTCACGGCGTCTACGTACCAGTTGACTTTAGGCCACAGCCACCTGGTGATTTCCTGGGACATCAAGGAGGAAGTGGATGCCACCGACTGGATCGGCCTGTACCACATCGGTGAGCAAACCTGCTTCAGGAGGGCGACCTCAAGATCTATGTTCTGAATTTCATGGAAGCATTGATATGATACAACAAGGGCCGCGCCTAGTGATTAATGTCTAATATCAGTTAACCCCTCAGTTATCTTTTGCTGAAACAACTTCTCGTTCAGGGTATAAAGTTATAGAAAATAGTGAAACACAGCCATCAGTTTCCCAGAGCCAAAGTTAATGTCTTCAGATTTTACTGTGACAAGCAGCAAAGCTATTATTTTCATAATGAATCAGTAGAATATACAAATATTTTAATTTAAAGATATATCCTCAAGTTCCAGCAAAAATGCTGGTCACCTCATTGACCTTTCGCTAAGCCTCATCCCTGTTCATTACTGTTGTTACACCTGTCAAGCTTTTTATTCTTGCATGCCACATTTTTAATGTACAATTAAAGTTCACAGTGCTTTTTGAAACAAGTCATTTCCAATTGATGGACACAGGTTTTCTCAGCTGAAATAACAGTTTCATCAGCTGCTGGCAAGCTAATTCACATCAGCTCTGTAAGTTGGCTGAAAACTCCATAGCCAGCTTTTAATGTTTCCAGCTGACTCATTTAATACAAGGGATTTTTGATGGCGACATGATATCATGCTAAAAGACCGAGGCTGTGCTGTATGTTCCAGACAAAGAGTCAGCATCCTGATCAGCTGATAATCAGAAGAAGACATGATAGCCTTGCATAGTTAGAGTTACTAAGCTATGATTGGACAAGTGCTGTTAGGAAGAGGGATTTTCGAACAGTTAGATGATTAATGAACGAAGCGTTTCACCGCTAACATCTTGTCAGCATATCGATGCAGTCTTGCCTCTATGAATTTCCAGGTCTGATGGGCCTGATGTTTTAGAGGCCAAATACAGTGGTGTAGGAATGAGTCCTAACACCATGAGTTAGCATTTTTGCACTTTCGGTTCCCTCATCTCAAAAGCAGTAGGTTTTTGAATTGGTTTTTGGTTAGACGCCTGAAATAAAATGCTGTTAATGAAAGCTGAAGAGACATTTTGTTCTACGACATAAAATAGCTTCCGTCAGTAAATACCCCACTCATGAATTTTTAAGCTTTTTTGTGTCTTACAAAAGGCAATTGTTAATAAATTCCTGAACATGGCTTCGCAGCCTTATGGTGGTGGCCACGATGAAAACATGAGACCACATTATAGTGTAAGTTTTATAACCTTTTTTGCAATAATCCAAAATCCCATGGGAAAATCTCATGTGCTTTTTGACAAGGGAACCAGGGTGATGTTAACTACTGGGTTGGCCAACAAAAACAATCTGCACCATTATTGCACAACATTTTACTGTGTCACTTTACCTTAAACTGCCTTTTTAAACCATTAATTTTACTGTAACATCACTATAAAATCCAAAGCACAGCAAGTTTTTTAGCAAGCTATTAGTTGTGCACAGCTAGCTCTCAAATGGACTTCCATTGTGGTCTGTTCTTGCTTGCTCATCGTCATCATCATCATCATGCTGTCCGTGTTCCTGCCTCCTGTCTCTCACTTCCATGTTGTCTCTCCTTCTGTCTGTCTCCCTGCCTGCCTGTCTGTCCACTTGTCTTTTTTTCTATTTGTCTGGTGTTGTCATAAGAATTGCCATTGAAGAAATTACAACTTGCAACTCATCTCAAGATTAGAGCATGGCATCAGCCCCGCTGCTGCTGCATTAACTGGCTAATGGATGGTGGGCTTGGGTTGTGTGTGGAGAAGGTGGTGAGAGAAGAGGGGAGGTTATCCTGATGAAAAGTGATGCTGACTCAGCACCAGTAGCACTTAAGGGCAGTATTTGTGTTCTCATATTACACTCTCTCTCTTTCTTTCACACACACATATACACACATTTCAAGTACCTCGTCCTAGAGTGATGTACAGGTGAATGACAGAGCGTGTAGTGAAGTGCAACCTGTCTGTCCCATAATAATACGACAAAAATACAAACATATGCGAGAATTTTTGAATGCCATTAATACAACAATTTTTTTTACATACCTCAGGGGACTGTGGTACATTATCGGCATCAGAAAATGGGTTTTCTTTTCATTTCACTATTCTTTTTTATTTTTTGTAGTGGAAGGCTCAATCCTGAACTGCCATTATTGTAAGAGACAACCCATTTGCCAGAAAAAAAGTGGCATTGTTCGTTTGTGCAAACCAAGGCTAGGTTACATTTGCATGTTATTATGTAGCAGATACACTGAAACTTTAAGGAAAGGATTATGTTTGGGTTTAAAACACCTGGTTTTAAGGAGCATAATCCCTGCTGGAAAAGCAGTGATGTCTCTGTAGAAAAACATCTTTGTTTTGTGCCACTATCCTGGCAGGAAAAACAGTGATGTCTGGGTAAAAAAACAACAGCTCTTTGTGGGTAAAAAAACAACCATGTTTGGCACCTTAAAGGCTTTAAACACCGCAATGACTTGCCCTTCTGTGCAGAGTTTGCATGTTCTCCCCGTGTCAGTTTGGGTTTTCTCTTGGTACTCCGGCTTCCTCCCACAGTCCAAAGACATGCAGGTTAATTGGTGACTCTAAATTGCTGGTCGGTGTGAATGTGGGTGTGACAGGTTGTCTGTCTCTGTGTGTCAGCCCTGTCCAGGTTTACCCCACCTCTCGTCCAATGTCAGCTGGGATAGGCTTCAGCACCCTGCAACACAGGATAAGCAGTTACGGAAAATGAATTAAGCATAAAGAATTTACGATTGTGTATCCATGTTAAATTAAAATTAAATATCTAAAGGGACAGTCACCCAATTACAACAAGTATTATTCAGTTTGATATATAGTAAATGCAAGTGTTTTTTATTCCTCTACATTATAGCATTGATCCAAATGTATTTTCCCAGTGGCTAGTAGTGTTTATTCTGATATGTTTACATGAGTTTAATATGAGATAAAAGCCACTCTGTGTTAACAGCTGGGCTCGGTGATGCCCTGCAGTTCTCAGGCTCAGGTGTGAAAGAGCAGCTTTCAGCAGCCAATGAAATACACACCGTTTTACAAAAGCTAAGGGCATCTCAAACCACAGGTGACTGATTTTGTGTGTGTGTGTGTGTGTGTGTGTGTGTGTGTGTGTGTGAGTGTGAGTAAGAGTGGGTGCCTGTGGACAATCCTCTATCTGAGACAGAGAGGCAGAGAGAGCCAGTGAAAGGTGATCTCTCTCTATCCCTCCAGCCTCTCTGCAGCTCTTCCATGGTATTGACCCATGCAGGGGGATTTCTAGGGTTTTTCTCCCCAGGGGAAGGCACTGTTTCCAGCCTGGCTGTCGGCCACGTTCCCCTGGAGCCGCCTGAGCTCCATAACCTCACCCTGCTGTCTGACCTGTGTGTGTATAAGGGTTCCTGTGTGTGTGTCACACTTCTCACACTGGAGTTTATACGGGTTGGATGATTGCAGGGTTATCAGGTCAGACAGGTGTGTGGGTGTCTGTGTGTGTGTGAGGAATACTTATTTGCTGTCACCAGTAAAGGCTCATGGTTTATTGATGGTGACCTGATGTGACAGAGGGCAAGGGGTGTCCTGTATATGTGTCTGTGCCTGTGCGTGTGTGTGGCTGACATCGGCATTGATCCATTAGGACACGAGCCATTTGTCACAGGACGTACACATAAATGTTTGATGGCTCAACAGGCACAGACAGGGATGTGGTTTATGACCTGAGGGAAGAGTTTCCCTGTTGAAGATTAAACTAGTGAATCCCAACCTTTTTTTGTGAGCCCTTAGGAAGGCCGTGGCTGTAGCTCTTTGACACATTTTCAATATCTGAGTTGTTAGCAGTTCCACCAAAGAGGCATTTCTCCACTGAACTTCTCACATGGTTTTTAAATAATTGTTTCCATCTCATTAAGTAATTTTAACCTGTAATTGAGTCCTCAAGTTTTGTTTTTGTCTCCAGGCAGACCTATAGATACCATTAGAAGAACTACAGTTTTTGGCACACCACTCTTGGATTTAAAAAAAGTAACTTCCAACTCTCTCCTCTGTTGACATAAATAATCTTTTGCCGAAGTGTTTGCCCATGCTGCTGCCTCATTAAGTGAGTCGAGACATAGCTGTTTGTGACCTTACTAAATGTCTAACAACTGTGCGGCCTAATTTACATAAGCTTTGTCAGGCCATGTGTGTGTGTTATTAAAACAGATGACAGAGAAACACAGAGGAACAGCTTGTGAATATAAATGTGTTTGTGTGTTAAACAGATGAGACGTGTGTGGCCAACGTTTGGGACTCCAAGAATCGTGGCGTGAATGGCACCCAGAGAGGACAGATCGTGTGGAGACTAGAGCCGGAACCCAACTTCATGGAGCGTGAGTGGACCCCATGGGTGCTGTGTTTGTCTTTGATAAAGTATTCTGCTGATTTTACTTGTCAGTTGTGTAATGTCTTTGGTGGATATGGAAGAGCTTTGTCAAGTCTGAGAAAATAACCATCATGATGTCACAGCAGTGTCTTTATTTGTGTGTTTTCTCCACAGCGGAGACTAAGATCTGCTTTAAATACTATCATGGTGTAAGTGGAGCATTAAGAGCAACAACACCTTGTATCACAGTCAAGAACCCTGGAGTACCGGTATGTTAGCGTGTGTTTCATCGACATCCCACTTAGTTTGTTTCTACTACTTTCTGTTTTGTCTGTCTTCTATAATGACCTCTATTCCAGTTATGAAAATGTCACGCCCTTAATCCACCATTGATTGGCTTCCAGAGGCCAGTAATTGGTGACCTATTTATCAAGCATTTCAGAAGTGACTCTTTGTCTTGCTCCATACATGTGAGACCTACACATAAAAAGTGCTGCATTTAGTGTTTTCACACCTAATCACCAGAAAAATGTTTCATTGTCTGTCTCTGCAAACCACAGATGCGTTACAATTGCACATTATTATGTAGGGGATACATTAAAACTTTCCATTTCTTTGTGTTTCAACATCACTTTGGTTAGTGTGTGGTGAGGTGTAGGCACAAAAACCACTTAGTTATGGTTAGGAAAAGATCATGTTTTGGTTTAAAATATGCAGTTTTGGTGGCATAATCTCTGCTGGAAAAGCAGCAGTGTCTTGGTAAAAAACAGCATTCAATTTTCGGGTCCATGTTATTGGTCCGACATCCCATTAGTCTGACGTCCCATTGTTCCGATATGTGATTATCCTAGGCTATACTGTATTTGTGTACCATAGAGGATCAGCAAATGCAACAAAAGTAGGCTACTGGTCGAGATGCAAGTGCCATAGAGAGAAGAGAGTGAAACACCATAACCTCCTGTTATTAACTCTGGGGTCGGGGTTGTGTGGGGAGCTTTCCGCGGTGCTGAACGGCTCCCGGCGGGCGTATTTCTGCCTTGATGGTGCGCCACGACCGGCTCTGGGTCAGCTGGGAAAGGCTTGAGGCGAAGCAGGCTCACAGCTTATGTGTTTGCCACTTTCTTTTTCATTTTAAGCCACACCATGATCTTTTCCTAACCGTAACCAAGTGGTTTTTGTGCCTAAACCTAACCAGACCTTAACCACAGGGCATCATGATGATTTCGGAACAACGGGACTTCGGAACAATGGATTTAATATGATCGGAACAATGGGATGTCAGACCAATGGGCTGTCGGACCAATGGGCAGTTCCCCAATTTTCATGGCACTATCCTTGGTGGAAAAACAGCAACAGGTCATGAAAAAACAGCCACTATTGGGGGCTAAAAAGCCACAGAATACACAGCCACAAGTTGCCAGAAAACAGCCACATTTGGGGGCTAAAAAGCCACACAGCACACAGCCACAGGTCGCAAAAAAACAGCCATGTTTGGGGGCAAAAAAGCTGCAGGACACAGCTACATGTCCCAAAACAACAGCCACTATCATGGGCTAAAAAGCCACAGGATACTCAGCCACAGGTTAGCAGAAAACAGCCACTTTGGGAGCCACACAGCCACTGGTCGCAAAGCTGCAGGACACACAACCATGTATTGCAAAAAATCAGCCATGTTTGGGGGCTAAAATGTTACAGAACACACAACCATAGGTTGCAAAGATACAGCCATGTTTGGGGGCTAAAACGTTGCAGAACACACAACCATAGGTCGCAAAAATACAGCCATGTTTGGGGGCTAAAAAGCTGCAGAACACACAGCCGTGGGTTGCAAAAACCAGCCATGTTTGAGGGCCAAAAAGCTGCAGGACACACAGCCATAGGTCACACAAAAGCAGCTTCGCTTGGGGGGCTTAAAGGCTGGAGGACACACAGCCACAGGTCACAAAAAACAGCCACGTTTGGGGAGCTAAAAAGCCACAGATAACACAACCTTAGGCCGCAAAAAACAGCTATGTTTGAGGGCTAAAAAGCCAAAGAACACACAGCCATAGGTTGCAAAAAACAGCCATGTTTTAGGGCCAAAAATCCACAGAACACACAGCCATAGGTCACAACATAACAGCCAAGTTTGGGGGCTAAAAAGCTGCAGGACACATTGCTACAGGTCAAAAAAAAGCAGCCACGTTTGGGGGGCTAAAAAAACGCAGGACACACAACCACAGGTTGCAAAAAACTGCCACATTTGGGGACTAAAAAGCAGCAGGATATACAGCAACAGGTCGCGAAAAACCCCTCACATTTGGGGACTTAAAAACACCCGCATTTGGTGGCTAAAAAGCAGCAGGAAACACAGTCACAGGTTGCTTAACTGCAAGTAGTGAAGGGTCACCATAAAACAAACAGTTTGGTTGTTGGTCTTGACCAGTAGTCTGCAGTGAAATGCAGTTTGCAGGTGTCTCATATACTACGTCACATTAGAAATGTCGATATGATACATATGAAACATATAACTGTAACATAGTCATGGGTTTGTAGTTACATACAGTGCCAGTATTTTCATAGAATTTTACCAATGCCTAACATTTCAAACTACAATCATGGCTTCTACTCTGCGGCTGTTGCTTAACAGCAGTGTCACGTCCTTCTTCTCCGCTTGCTCTGCTGAAAGTTAGTGCAGGAGGCCTTGTGAATATCTTAAAGGTAGAGGTGCTTTTAGCCTTAGGTTAGCTCTCAGTGTGATTCCTTGCAAAGGATTCTGGTACACTGTAAATATAGTACCTGGTTATCAGCTGCAGATCCTCCCTCTTCTTCCACTTAAACTGTGACTAAATAAAGGCATGTCAGTGTCCACTTCAGCACAGGTTGCTTTAAGAAGAAAATCTTCTTAGCCTCTGCCTTTAACCCCCAGAATTTATTGGGTAACATATTTTGGCCTCCGCTCAGCTAAGACCAAAGCTGGAAACAAATTTAGAGATGGCAGGGATGCAGTCAGAGTCAGTGGAGGGAAGTGAATGAAGAATATAGACGTCCCTGAGCTCTTGGCAGCACAAACTGAAGCGGAGAGACATTTACTCCAGTTGAGTCAGTGAAATTTAAGCAGTCAGCTTGAATCAAGAGCATTTTTCTTCCCTCTTTGTTGTCCCTCCTTTTAACGTTTCATCAACTCTCTTTTTTCTCTAAGAGTCAAATCAGTTCACTCCAAAAATGGGATGGACAAGTGATCCACTCACTGCTCTTCTATTGGTTGTTTTCTCATCAGGTGGGCAGTGAAGGCCAAGTCGAGGACCAATCAGGGACTGAACACTGTCGGAAACTAGTCAGCTTCACCTTATCAGGTACAAGGACTCATTCCATGGAACTGTGGTGTATTTGTGGTCCAGTATAAAATACACACACATACTTACAGATGTGTGTTTTGCACTACAGACATGCGAGCAGTGGGTTTGAAGAAGGGCATGTTCTTCAACCCTGACCCCTACCTGAAGATGTCAATCCAGCCTGGGAAAAGAAGCGGCCTCCCCAAGTTCACCCACCACGGCCAGGAGAGACGCTCCTCCATCATAGCTAACACCACCAACCCTGTGTGGCATGGGGAGGTCAGCACGAACACATGCACCTACAGAAGCACACATCATGGACCGGCACTATTGTGTCTTTACATGTTTACTGTTGCCAGGGATAGTGACCAGAAGTTACAGCAAAAAAAAGCAGAAAAGGAACAAACAAAAACTGTAAATATACCAAATTTCCACATGTTGAAAATATATTTTTTTTTTTTTACTATGGATCTTCCTGTAGAAATACACCTTTGTGGCTCTGATGACTGACGTGTTGGAGATCGAGGTGAAGGATAAGTTTGCCAAGAGCCGACCAATCATCAAGAGGTTTCTAGGTCAGCTGATCCTCCCTGTGCAGAGACTTCTAGAGGGGCCGACAGCTGAGTGAGTTAACACACACACACACACACACACACATAAGGTTGTAATTGTATGAGTCTTCCACAGTACGATAACCGTGTCTGAAAATATCACGGTTTCATGTTATCATAGCCTTAAAGGAATGAAAATGAAAGGGTTATTTTGGTTGAACCAAGATTTCTCAGACAGAAGAAGGGGACGTCTGAGGAGGTCGCACAGTCATCTGACCTTCAGCACTTAACCACAGTGACTCAACAGTGTGCAGTCAATATCAATCAATGCATCCTAATCAGCTCATTGTTCAGGCATTGATTTGATATTGATCCACAGCTCAGGACATCATGTACTCTCGTGAAGCATGGTGTATAGTATGTGCACATTTTGACAGTTAATGGTAATAGGATGTGAACAGCGACAATTGTTCATATATTCAACAGTTTGATTTAGATAAATGTCAGAGACATTGTGCATGTGTAGACGTGTGTATCCATCTGGTGTGACTGTGTGTTCTCTGATAATGTGTCTTAACTCCTTTGTGTGTGTGTGTGTGTGTGTGTGTGTGTGTGCAGCGATCAGCCAGTCAGCTACAGCCTGTGTCGTCGTCTCCCTACGGACCATGTGAGTGGGCAGCTTCAGTTCAGAGTGGATATCACCTCCACTGGACATGAAGGTGCGTGTGTGTATTAAAATGTTCTGGGGTAATGTAAATGAGTAACACAACCTTTTTAATAAACAAGATGTTCAGTTGTGACAAACTAATACACTTAGAGGGGATTTGGAGGAGTGCTCAGTCAGATTGTGTTCATGGGAACAATGAAACTTCTGGTATGGATACCTGACCTTCAGAATAAATGGGGTGGGGCGTTAGATAGGGTTAAGATAAAGTCATTTGTTATTTATACCCACTGGATGACTGGATCATATTCTTTGGCAGAAGAATCCAGGACTATTAAATGTGTCCTGGCCTATGTTGTTGTCAGACACTTTTAATAACAATCTGAACCTGTCAGTGGTGAAAACAAACACTTTGGTGGCTGTAAATTGACAGCAGGTATTACAGTACAGCCTGTTTCACTGCTGCTGTCTGCAGCCCTGTCACTCAACACTGAGCCAACTGTTGTTCCCATTCATCACTTAGACACAAAAACATGGGAAAATAGGGTCTAGGCTGAAAAATACCATAAAAATATATCTTTAATATCTCGAATTTATCCCCAATCTTCTTTTACCTCTCCCCCATCCTCTCTTTCTTTCAGAAGCCTCCCCAGATGCTGTGGGCACCATCCTAGGCAGCTCAGTGAACGGTGACCCTGGAAGTCCCTCAGACGATGAAGACCTCCCTCACCCATCCTCCTCCTCGCGCGTTGCATACGGGCCTTCTCCCACAGGATCGGACGAGGGCTCCCTGTTAGTTAATGGTGCTTGTTACTATGGCGATGACAGTGTGTGGCGGGAGCCTGGGCAGATGGCAGAGGAAGATCTGCTTGCTATGGCTCTGGGCGGCCACACTCACCGGCAGGTGTCACTCAATGATTACCTGGATGCCATTGAGGCTCCCAGGAGCCCCGGGGACCGGCCTCTTGCGGGGCCTTCGCCGAAACTCCGTTCTAGCTTTCCAACAGACACACGGCTCAATGCCATGCTGCACATAGACTCAGATGAGGATGAGGAGACAGCAGGGCAGCACAGGGAGCAAACACAGGAGACGAGGACACAGCAGAGCATAGACTCAGCCTCATCGAGGAACTTGGCTACATCGGAGTCTCAACAAGGGAACAAGGGTTCAAAAGAGGAGCCGCAGGGCCAGACTGGAGCTGGGACTGGGACTGGGACTGGAGCTGGGACTGGAGCCACAACAGAGGCAGGTTCCTCTGCCAGTGCTCAGCCTGGAACGACGCCTGCAGGGGCCGAATCTGGAGCTGGAGCTGCTGAAAGTGCAGTCCAAACACAGGAAGGAACACCAGCTGCTGCTGCTGAGACTGAAGCTGGGCTTGGAGAAGCTGCTGGAGCATCAGCTGAGGCTGCACACATCACTGGAGAACCCTCCACAGCTTCCAGCTCATCTCAGGCATCAGGGGCTGAGGCAGCTGCGGCAGCTGGGCCCATGGAGTCTGTGGGGGAATGTACCTGTCAGGAGCAGAGTAGCAGAACAGGTGCAAACCAGGAAGTATCCCTCACTCCCTCACTTGGTCCACTTTCACCCATTCAGGTGAGCAGCTGTAGTTTGGTGATCAAACAGTACATATCTTGGGTGTCAGCTGGAAAGTTACAAAGTTTCTTCTCCACACTTTTTTCCTGTCCTCTCCTCAGGAGGTGGAGACAAGAAAAGAAGTGGCTCCTAAGGCAGAGGAGGAAGGGGAGTCATCAAGCAGTGAGGCCAACGGACCATCAGCAGCAGCTGGTGCATCTACGAGCAGCATCATAGCTGACCAGGGAGGAGGGACCTCCGAAGTTGGTAGGTGGTAAATGTATTTGTTGTTTCTTTGTAAGGATTCCCATTAGCTTTGCCCTTAAGGCCTAGTCTTCCTGGGGTCCACATATTTTAAAAACATGCATTAAACATTACAGTCAGAGCAGGAATTTGGCCATCTAGGCCCCTTATCACCCTTTTGAAAATCATATGCCCATCAGCCTCTGTGGCCCTGGAGCCCTGCTCTGGCTTGCCTCTCTGCTCTGTCCTTAATAGTCAGGAATGACAGCATCAACCCCACTGTGTTAGGTGGATGCATTTGAACGGACAACTTTTATAATACTAACAAAATAATATTAATTGTAAACAAACTGAAATCAGGAATGAAAACCTACCTTCATACGATATCATATGATAAGATATACATAACATACTATGGCTGCCAGGACCATGCACAGGCAGCCGGATCTCACTCTGCTGCTTTTATCTGCCTCCTTGTTACATTACACTCATAAAAACATCTTGTTAATTTCAGGAGCAAGAGCCAGGAGTCAGGAGGAGGAGGATGGGGAGGTGTGGAGGAGGAGGCAGTCAATGCAAGCTTCCGGAGGTGTGGCCCAAAACCAGGAGGCGTGCGCAGCCAGAGAGAGTCAGAACGGGGCAGTGGGGGTGGAGAGAGAGACAGGTGAGATGCAGGATGATCTTGGATGTTTTTTTGCTTTATTTTTCCAGTAAAATAAAAATGAAAAAAAAATAAATATTATAGCAACACTTAGAGATTTCCACACAGCCTTCACTGACTTTTTATCTATTTATTTCTTTAAGTATCTACAAATCATATCATTTTTGTTATTATTAGAATGATCCCACGACTAGTATTTATTGTATGTTGCCATAAATTTGACATTAGAGGAACATCCCCATGCAGTATCTGGACTGGCATCTCTCCACATCACAGAACAGAAGGGATCAGGGAGTATTTAATAAAAGACTGGAGCATTATTCAGATCAGATCATGTTTTCTGCACCTGCCAAAAAGCTGTTGGATGACACAGAGAACAGTTGTGCTATTTAACCTTATGACAGTAGTAGATAGTAGTAGGTTGTGCAGTGAGGATATGAGCCAGCTGTAGGATCTTATATTTGGAAGGTCATCAGGTTTTGCAGCTTTGGTTTTACATATAAAAAGGGGACTTTTCTACCTTTTCTTCTATTCAAAGTGATGCATGGCCAAATGTTTTGCAGGTGCCACAGCTCAGGTCAATGGCCACCAGTCTGTTCGCTCCCTGCCATCTGTGCGCCATGACATCAGTCGTTACCAGAGAGTGGACGAGCCGCTACCACCTAGTGAGTGTGGGTGTGTGTGTGTGGGGGGGTGTGTGAGTGTGTGAGAAGATAGATAGATAGATAGATAGATAGATAGAATGTCTTATTGAATTGTTGTGATTGTTTCTGAGGCAATTAAAATTGTTGGACAGATATTTAGGGACCTCAATATACTTGATTTGTGTGCCTCTGTTATCATCTGGAAGCCGATGAAGTTGTAGAAAATGTGCTGAATCACAATGGGTTCAAGGAGGTAACTTAAACACTACCTTGATTAACTTGTTTTGTGCAGTCCAGGGTTTATTTTTATTGTGCTGTGGTGTAATAATCAACCAGGAGATAGCATAGCATAGTTAAAATGTCATCAAACCAATGCTTGGACCAAGGTCTTAAGTGTTTACCGGTCCAACAACCCTGATTTTCTTGCCAAGAATTTTGTTCACCGGCTAAATCTTTATGAGACACGAAAAAAGCTGAATCGTCTGCATAGAGAAACAGTTCAGATGGCCAGGCTACCTTCATATCATTAATGAACAATAGGAAAAAAGTGTGTCCAGTACACGCCCTTGAGGGACCCCACAACGTATAGTTTCAGCTTTGGAAAATGGCCCTACCGATCTACTGTCGGTGTCCTTCCCAAGAGTTAAAAATTGACCCATTTAATGGCAAACTTGCGAATCCCCATGGCCTTTAGCTTAAACAGCAGGTTACTATGATCTACAGTGTACTGGCCTAGAGTTTCTTAATCACTTTGTTTTTCTAGTATTTTGTATGATTTACTGTGATTTGCTCACACAAATTAACAATTCACTTCAGCTCACACTAAGTCGTAAATTGGTTAGAAGTGTGTCTCCACTGGCTCAGTCAAAAAAAAACAAAACAATTTTGTGACACCTCAAAATATGGCGTATTTTGGATCAGTTTAATAGAAGAAAGATTGGTAGTGTAATCAAGCAAATCAATGGATTCATTACTCTTTTCAGTGGGTGTTCACTCCGTTATATCTCTGAAGAAATTCTCACCATCACAGACAAGCCAAGAGATGCATGAAATCAATTATACCTTTGATTGTTTAGATACTAAGCCTCTGAATCTCCTCTTCAGCATTGGGCTTACTATTGTGTGTGTGTACTTACTTATGACAATTTGTGTGTCTGTGTCTGAATCAGACTGGGAGGCTCGTATCGACAGCCACGGTCGGATCTTTTACGTGGACCACGTGAACAGAACCACAACATGGCAGCGTCCCACCGCTCCCCCCGCCCCACAGACCCTCCAGAGGTCCAACTCCATACAGCAGATGGAGCAGCTGAACCGCAGGTCAGAACAAAATGTAGTTGATTTTTCCACTTTTGACATTTCTTTGTTTACTTTAACTGTCACCATGGTGATCAACACAAACATGCACACCTTACCAGGTATCAGAGTATACGTAGGACGATAACCAATGACAGCAGACCAGAGGAGCAGCCAGCCAATGAGCTGCCAACAGATGAGACTGACATGCACCCCTCCATCCCAGGTAATCCTCTCACTCCTCTGCATTCTGGTTTATGTAGTCTGTAAAGCATGTCCTGGAGACTTGATCAGTTTTGTTTGACTGTGTGTGTGTGTCTGTTTCAGAGTTCCGTCGGGACAACAGTGTATCTCAGTCCAGCTCCAGGTCTCGTCTCACCCTCCTGCTTCAGTCCCCCAGCGCAAAGTTCCTCACCAGCCCCGACTTCTTCACTGTGCTGCATTCCAACCCTGTACGGACAACTGTTTTTTTTTTTCATCTCTCTCTTCTTTCTTTCAACCAATCCATCTCTCTTTCCCCCAACTTACTCTCATAGGTTGCCCTCTGCTGTTTGTTTTAGGAAATTGCAAGGCCTCTCCCTCTTCTCAATTCTTACTTTGTAGATCCTCGATTCCTTGCCTTGCTTCCTCCCCTCGCGTTTTAGTTCCTCGCACCTGAGATGCAAGCGGAGGAGGCAGGGAAATGACACAAGGAGAGAGGAGTCGAAGCAACAAGGATGTAACAAAATGAGACATCCATGCTTTTGGAGGTGTCATTACAAAGTGAGGTCAACTAAATATAACGTGTCATGCCTCTTAAATGTGTCACAATTCCCAAAAAGACTTCTGTAAAGGATACACCTGTGCCTCCTCACTCATAGATCCTCCAGTAAGCCTCCTCTCTGAAAGATGCATTTTGGGAATTGAGACATCCGTCAACATGGTGCACTGTGATAAATTTCCAGGTCACAGGCAGAAGGATGGAGGAGAGAGGAGATGGGGAGGCACAAAGAGAAATGAGAGGAGCCACCCCCATATTGAGAACCGTGTCCAGACAACTCACTCTGAATTTGAGCCCCATTAACAAAATTTAAAATCTTTCTCTGGTGCATGTGGTTCCTCCTCCCTTACTATAATTTATCTCATGTTTCTTTTGTGTGTCTAGAGTGCCTACCGTATGTTCACCACCAACACGTGTCTGAAGCATATGATCAGTAAGGTTCGTCGGGATGCTCACCACTTTGAGCGCTACCAGCACAACAGGGACCTGGTGGCCTTCCTCAACATGTTCGCCAACAAACAGCTGGAGCTGCCCAGAGGCTGGGAGATGAAGCACGACCACACCGGCAAGGTGGGGACCGCGCCCATATAAAGTCTCTCATACTATTAACTCATGGGCTTAAATGGTTTTGGAAACAGTAGAGTGTAGTATTTTAAATTCAGTTCAGAGGTTGTAGTGTTGTGCAGATACATGCAGATGCAGCCACCTTGAGTCTCCCTCCACTGCCGAAGGCTTTTGGCTGCCAGCCAACTACCAGTCAGTTCCCAGCCACTGGGAGTATCCTCCTGTCTCCTGACAGGGTGTGTTCAGGTTCTACTTTGAAAACGACCATTCATTTAATTGCATGGAGTCACCATGACATGGTGCTTTCTTCACAAGATCACATAATTTAATTTTAATTTGATAATTTAATTTAATACATTTTTAAATGCTAAAATCAATCAATAAATAAAAGACTAAATGAAGCTGAACATAAAAATACATATTTTAATGCATAATTTAATATTAAAAAATACATAAATGCTGGTAATTCGTTGCAAAATTAATATCTTTACCTCTACATTTCTTATTTTCTGCGTTTATGTATAATGTCATTTATTGTGCTTTACAGTAAGGTTACTCCCACCTACCTCATTAACATAGAGACAGAAAATCAGAAATAAAAAAGTAGAAACTCAGAAATAGATGCAGATTTTAAAATTCATTAATAAATTAAATTAAAATAATTCAAGGTATACTATGAATATTCCATTCAACCTTATTTGCACAGAAATAAAACTGTACTGTCACATGTGACAGTCTTCTCTTGTGTGTACATATGCAGCCTTTCTTCGTGGACCATAACTGCCGTGCGACGACCTTCATTGACCCCCGGCTGCCTCTCCAGAGCACTCGGCCCCCGAGCCTCCTGGCTCACCGCCAACACCTGACTCGCCAACGCAGCCACAGTGCTGGGGAGGTCAGCCCACGGCGACTGGTAAGACAGAGAAAAGCACAGGTGTTTTAGAGGTGTGGCAAACAGCAGACTGAGGCTGGTGAAACTATAAAAATATAACCTCCGTTCCCTCTCTCTGTAGGTGGGTGAAGACCCTCGTCATGCCGGTCCACCCGTCCTGCCGCGGCCTTCCAGCACCTTCACCTCTGCCAGCAGGGGGCAGTGCCAAGACGTTGTGCCAGTGGGTCAGTACAAACACACACACACACTCACACACACAGAACTCTCCAGAAATGATCCAAAGTGACTTACATGAGTGTGTCTGCTTTTCCTCCAGCTTACAACGATAAGATTGTGGCGTTTCTTCGACAACCAAACATCTTTGAGATTTTGCAGGAGAGACAGTCTGACCTCAGCAGGAACCATTCACTCAGGTACACACACACACATAATTACACACACTATCTCCACCCAAGATATAGGGTTATACAGATACCAGATACCAGCATCTGTCTGTAATGTTGCTATGACAACAGGGAGAAGGTGCAGCTGATACGCACAGATGGAGGGTCAGGATTGGCCAGGTTGTCAGGTGACGCTGACCTTGTCATGCTGCTAAGGTGAGACCTGTTTCTTTCCTTCCTTCTTTTTTCCCTGTCCTCAACCTTCCTTTCCTTCTTGCCAACCTTTCTGTTTTTTCAGTCATCTACTTCCCTTCTTACTTTTACCTCTACCTCCCCTCCACGTCTTATTGTGTTAGCAGTGAATCACTTTGCCTCTTTACTTCCTTGCTTCCTCCCTAATTTATTTCTTTCCTTTCTTTCTTGCTTTCAACTTAAGTCACTCTATTGAATTAATTCAATGTCTTCCTGTCTTTCTCTCCTCTCTGCAGTCTGTTTGAAGATGAAGTAATGTCCTACGTGCCTCCTCACGCCTTACTTCACCCCAGCTACTGCCAGTCACCGCGGGGATCACCTGTCTCCTCCCCACAGAACTCGCCTGGTAAGAGACACAGAGACATTTCTTTTACTTGCATTAAGGCCATCATACAACACACAGTGTGTCAGGTAAAAGCTGCATTTTGTCATCACTACCCATAGGTGCATGTCTATATTTGTCAAGTAGTCACATCTGTAAATAATTTAACTAAAAAAACAACCAGGAAGGGAGCATACAAACAAAAACCCACAGTGCTGATTATAAACTAACCACTGGAATGCACAGACCTGTGCTGATTGCTGACATATGTCAGCGCAGTAAAGGAGTACAACCTCTCCCTTTCTCTCTGCCTGTAGGTACTCAGAGAGCAAATGCCAGAGCTCCAGCACCCTACAAAAGAGACTTTGAGGCCAAACTGCGCAACTTCTACAGGAAACTGGAAACTAAAGGCTACGGCCAAGGACCAGGGAAGCTAAAGTAGGTGGAATGGGTTCGTCTGAAGAGAGAGCTTTCTTCTCTGTTTCATTTTGCCCTCACACTTGTGTTTGTGTCGCAGGTTGATCATCCGTCGGGACCATCTGCTGGAAGATGCCTTCAACCAGATCATGTGCTATTCCCGTAAAGACCTGCAGCGCAGCAAGCTTTACGTCAGCTTTGTTGGGGAGGAGGGGTGAGTATGTGGGAGGGGAGAAGAAGAAGCATGAAACCCATAACATATGTGCATATATGTGCAACATACAGTAGTCATCCCTTTAACATTAACCACTATTACAGTCATGTATTGTATGTAGGAAGGACTGATATCCGAATGTGTGTGTGTTGCAGGTTGGACTACAGCGGGCCTTCCAGAGAGTTCTTCTTCTTGGTTTCCAGGGAGCTCTTCAACCCTTATTATGGTCTGTTTGAGTACTCTGCCAACGACACCTACACCGTCCAGATAAGCCCCATGTCTGCCTTCGTAGACAATCACCATGAATGGTGAGGTTCACTGTACACGCACACACAAATACATACTAGAGACAATGAAGCTGAGATATGATCTTTAATATCCTGATTACTTTTATGTGTTGATGTGTTGCAGGTTCCGGTTCAGTGGTCGCATTCTCGGTTTGGCTCTGATCCATCAGTACCTACTGGATGCCTTTTTCACCAGACCCTTCTACAAAGGCCTACTGCGCATGTACGTACTGTAATGAACACACAGATGTATGCACAAATACGTACTTTTTAAAAGTCATTTGACCTGTTTATAAACTTGGATATTGGAGCATTCTAGTGCACATTTGCTTATCTTTGTTAGCCAGTGTGTCCTAAATGTGACCTGGAATGTTACAGGTCTCATACACACACACACACACACACACACAAACACACACTCATTCATTCTCATTTCCCACCTTGTAGTCCCTGTGACCTGAGTGACCTGGAGTACCTGGATGAGGAGTTTCACCAGTCCCTTCAGTGGATGAAGGACAACGACATAGAGGACATGTTAGACCTCACCTTCACCGTCAACGAGGAAGTCTTTGGACAGGTTAGGCTCTATGTGTGTGTGTTTGTATTCACATTTATACACACGTGGCAAGACAGAGGGAGAAAGAGGACGGACTGAGATTGTAAAAAAAAGTCTTCTGTTTTGTTTTGTCTTAAGGAAAAAGTGATAAAAAGGATTAATGTATGTATTTATTTTTTTGCCTGTGTTTCCATAGATAACAGAAAGGGAGCTCAAACCCGGTGGAGCCAACATCCCTGTGTCAGAGAAGAACAAAAAGGAATACATTGAGCGGATGGTGAAGTGGAGGATAGAGAGAGGAGTGGTGCAGCAGACTGACAGCCTGGTTAGAGGTTTCTACGAGGTATGGCTCAGCGTAACATAATATAATCACCTTTATGATAGTCTTTCACAAACTGTACTGTGGAAAATGTGACACTCAGTGGCTGTATGATATGTTGTGTGTGTTTTCCAGGTAGTGGATGCCAGGCTAGTGTCAGTGTTTGATGCAAGGGAGCTGGAGCTGGTGATCGCTGGCACAGCTGAGATTGACTTATCAGACTGGAGGAACAACACCGAGTACAGAGGAGGTATGTTCTTATTTTATTTATTATTTTATTTTAGTCTTAATTCATATGCATCCTCTCTTCTGGGACTCAACTGCGTTTTTACCCCCCATCTGTATTCTATAGGTGTTTTTTTTATGGGAATGCGGAACTTTCAGATGATGTTAAGCAGTGCCTATGGTTTGCATGTTCCACATTTTATTCTAAGTGTGTACTGCAGTGTGCGACTTGATCTCAATCCCTGAAAGTCTTGGTCTTGTCTCGGTCTCGATACACTGCATTCACCATCATCATTCAAGTTCAGTTTCTTTACTGTCATATGCACAACAGTTAGAGAGAAGTAGTCCCTGGCAATGAAAATATTAGCTGTCAGGCTCCCTCCAACAATGCTCATTTAAGTATGTATCAGAAGGAAAAAACACACAAGTAAAAGAGTCGTGAGTCTTTTGGCCTGTGGTGTGAAGCCGTCCCTGAGCCTGGTGGTGCAGACCAGCTCGAGACACGGCAGCTGTCCTTGGTGCTGGCTTCTCAGCCTTCAGTCATCACGATCCATCGCCATAGTTACATGACATGATGTGTTATGTTTAGGTTACCATGACAACCATATTGTGATCCGGTGGTTCTGGGCAGCAGTGGAGAGGTTCAACAATGAACAGAGACTACGACTCCTGCAGGTAGGCGTGTGTGTGTGTGTGTGTGTGTGTGTGTGTGTGTGTGTGTGTGTGTGTGTGTGTGCGCGTGTGTGTGCGTGTATGTGAAATGTTTGAGGTAGGTTGACTTCTATTTTAGTCTTCTTATTCTTTCTTTCCTTCTCTGTCCCTCCTTCCCGTCTGCCTGTTCAGTTTGTGACTGGGACATCCAGTATTCCATACGAAGGCTTTGCTTCTCTGCGAGGCAGCAACGGGCCTCGCAGGTTTTGTGTGGAGAAGTGGGGGAAGGTCACCGCGCTGCCCAGGTAAACACACTGAGCCCAACAGGGTTTTATTTAGGCCACATTTTAAACATTAATTCAAAAATGACCCAAATATATTCTCAGTGGAATTTGATAGGAACATAATATTGTGTAGATAATTGCAATAAGGAACACATGTGCTGCTCACTCTAAACCTTCTGTTCAGACACTGTCTGATATCACGTCCTGTGGTTTCTCTCCAGAGCTCATACTTGTTTCAACCGGCTGGACCTGCCACCATACCCGTCCTTCTCAATGCTGTATGAGAAGATGCTGACGGCTGTGGAGGAGACCAGCACCTTTGGGCTGGAATGATCCTCGCCAACCCAAATCTCAGCTGACCTCTGTCTACCCCTCAAGGACTGCTGGTAGTAGTGACGAGAAGTAGCTATGATGGACAAAGGTTCAAAAAACTGGATTTAAAGTCCAAGTTATGGTTTATGTTTAATTTATATTGGGCTGAATTTTATATCAGAGGCTGATAAGACCTTTGATCCATGAAGCTGCACTCTGGCCTTTTGAAATGCCCTATGTACAGAGGTAAACACTTTTTTTTTTTGCCGCACCTGCACGTATTTCACACCTACTTAGTAACACACGCTTTTACCTGTGTGATTTGACAAATGAAAACCCACACTGCCTTTGGGACCAGAATCATAACTGCCGGGATTTGACCATGTGGATACTGGAGTGTTGTTTTTTTTGTTGTTGTTGTTGTTGTTGTTGTTTTTGTTTTGTTTTTTTGGTTACTTTCTCTTTGATACCAGAGGATTAGAGTATAAGGCTACACATCAAAGAAAAAGCGATCACTGCCTTCACCGCAAAAGCTGAGTGGACTCAGCGTCTTTATTCTGGTGTTGATGGACCTCAGATCATACGGCCTGTCCAGTGACAACCCCATTGTAGTACAGCGCCTCCCTGTGGCCTGTAGAAGTAACTGCACCCATGTAGGCATTTGTCAAAGCCTTTTGAGGACCGCCTGATGTAACTTTTGGTAAAGTTTATGGAATTTTCTTCTACAGCCAGTTTTGGAGTCCAGACAGAAGCTTTGCTATTGTTACAGTATTTTCATCTCAAAGAAGAACAAAAAAGTGATTTTCTAACGATGTGGCAGTGACATATTGTGATTTGAATGTAACTTAATGATGTAGATTGTGTGGGAAGTGATTATGCACCAGATCTCGATTAATTGGCAAAAAAATATTTGGTCCCCCCACTCACGTTATCAATGTGTTGATGGTAAGTAATTAACATACAGTATGTAACCATATCCATTTACTTTGATTGTATTTGATTGATTTACTTTGACCCAGGTCTGTTTTTTAAAGTTTGCTAAAAGTCATCTACATTCAACAGGTGGAGATTGAAAGTAAACTGTTTATCCAAATGGATAAAGTAAATTGAATGTCCACCCACCAGTGGCGGATCTGGAAAACTTCTGGCAAAGGGGTGGCATGGGAGGGTGGTGCGTCCCCACATAAAAATACAAGCTACTTCTGCAAGTTAAGCTAAAAGTTTAACTATGACAAAACTAAATTATCAGTCACATAGGCCTAAAGGATAACTTATAATGATATAATGGTATAGCATGACTATAACACCATCTTATTTATTAGCAAACCCTCCATCAGTTAACCATTAGTTAGCTCAAGTGCAAATGAAAAAATAAGAATACATTTACAGCAGAATAGACGTAGTTTCATCTATCTTTTGATTATGATTCTTAGGTATTCAATATTTGAGTTGTGTACTCAAATTATGACTAGGATAACTCATAAGTTCTTACAATTAAATTTGTAGTCGTCCTTTTTCGCAAATCTTGTAACAGCAGTGGATACAGGAGTCGAGCTATCGCTATCACAAAAACAGAACAGAATAGAGGTTTTCCCAAGGCTCCATCATCCAGTTGGATGAGATCCATGTACTTTATGGCATTTAGCTATGCCATGTGTATCATGTCCTGGACACCAGAGAGGTTCCTTCAATTTTTGCGATACCAAACGTCTTTTTTTTTGTGGCAACTCTGCATGAGGGTTTTAGGTCACCAAACTAATGTGATTTTTTTTTCTTTTGCCAATACCATGGCAACATACGATAAAGTATTAGGCTAATGCCTGTGCTGAATTAGCCAAAGTTAGAAGTTGAACTGCTCGCTGTAAGTATCGAGATTTAATATCAGCACATGCAGAATTCAGGTATATGTGTATGTATAACGAGCATACTGTTCTGGTCACCAGAAATAAGAGAAAAAACAAGAAGAGGAGGAAAAATGACACTAGGGGGTGTAGGGGGGCATCAATAGGCTTCTTTGCTCGGGGTCCCCCCAGAGTCTAAGGTCAACACCGGTAACAATCTGCTCATCATGTCCCACAAGAATCATGTAATTTAGGCAGCTGTGTGAAGCCTGCAGCTACAGGTTGGCATGTAAGGGCATTAAGTTAAAACTGGAAACACGGTCTAGTGTAGGCTACATCCTGCATCATGAGGCAGTGGAAATGCATGAGTGTGGGCAGAGTGGGTGCAGGATGACTACTATCATTAGGAAACACTAGTTCCTTAAACACCTTAAATACAAAACATATCTAGGTGTTGGTATATTTATATTTGTGTATTTATGAAAATCATCTTTTAAAATCATTTTAATATCATAATTTTTCCTTCAGCAAAGTGACAGTTGTTGACGAACACTCTCAAAGGGTCAGGGTTTTTCTGTCGTCGGTACATTTCCAAGTGTCAGTGAATCAAAATAACTCAAGATGAGTCATCTTATAGGGTAGAACCACTGCTATGCAAGAGGCTGTATTTTATTTAAATCTTAGCTACACACCCCTGTAATCAAAAGTTCTGCAAAAAATTACACTTAACTAAAAAGTCATCAGAATATTTTGGATTATAATTATGGATTAAAGTGTGTGTACATCACTTTACAGTAGGTGAGGCTAATTTTAAATACTAATTCTAACTACTCCGGGTACTACTGGAGTGGCAACCCAATTGTCACAATGAATGTTGGCATTGCATGTTTCTGCAACTCACGGTTACGTGACTTTTTACATTATTATGTAATGAATACACTTTGAGTGGTTAGGTTTAGGCACACAAAAACACTTAATTGAGTTTGGACAGCTCAGGGACATCGAGGTGACTGAATATTACATGATTTTATAATTATGAACAATCTCCATCGTCAGGGTGGTAGCTGCTCCCCCCATGCCGCCCTCTAGATCCGTCCCTGCCACAACCACCTCGATCAGAACTGAAAAATGTCCCCTAGCTGCTACAGCTGGTGTCAAAAACACAATTTTGATTTTAAGATGCCGTTTAAAGTCCAGTTTATTATGCACTCATAGAAAACAGATCTTGATAAAGTCCTGGATCTACTGTTTTCTTTGTTTACACTTTTAAAGAATGTGCTCTTATCCAGAATATGAAGTTATGAATATGAAGTTAACTCTTGGCTACATTTTCATGTGTGAATTTAGTTCAATTCAAATGGGATCAAATAATTGTCATGATGAAAATAATAATATAATTTCCCTCACTGAATGCACTGCCCTGTGTCCATCTCATCAGAATGTACCAAAGTTTTGAGCCTTACCGGGCTGCTTCACATCTAACCCCAACCCAGCCGACCACTCTTCTGTACAGTCCACCTCACTTTTGAATATGAATGTTTGTCACCACTTCTCTCCTGAAATAAAATTTCATCACTCTATGCAAGCTCTTTCTTCTTCTTCTTTCTGTGTCACTTTGACTATAATTGAGCAGTGCAGGATAAAATGGAAATGAATATCTGTGTCCTGTCATTTCTCTGTTGGAGCGTAAAACAGATTCTGTCACATGTTGTATTTCCAATTCAAATGGTTATTTTGTTTCTGTTCTAGCACGACAGGATATAATTTAAAACAGCCTGTGTGACATGGGATAATCCTCTTCAATCAAAGCTTTACTGTTGACTCCTCTGTACTCATTTTGTATGTGTCTGTGGTCACTTTGAGTTTCTGTGTTGTCATTTTTATTCTCATTCTCATTGTAGTCTGTGTCTTTTTATGATTCTTTTGCCCCTCTCTGTCGTCGTTGTGAGTCTCTTTGCAGCTGTTGTGCATCTCTTTGTAGTTGTTTTGTGTCTCTTTGTGGTCATTTTGAGTCTCCACCTGCTTGGTACCTGTTGATTTTTGAGTGGCATTTTTCAGGTCATAGTTCACTGTGAGATAGAAAAGCCATGACTGAATTTATTTATTTATTTTGGACATTTCTGCTTTATGTTTGATAGTCAGAGAGAAAGACACAGGGATGGCAGAGGAGATAGAAGTGACAACATGTAGGAAAGGGCCTGGGCTGCAGTCAGGACTCAGGAAAAAAGGTCTCAGAAAAAACTGATTCACTCGTCGAGTCTTGGGGGACGATCTGCCTTGACGATCTGTTGTCTGCATACAGATGAATTAGGTGCTTAAGGAATTTAAATGCCATTATTGTACCAATCTCAAGCCCTCTAACTTTCAGTGCAGCCCTCAGCCCTCAGTCAAATGCTGGCTCCGATGGTGTGGTGGTTTTTGATGAGGTGGGTGTACTACTAAGTCAAGAGGTAGGTTACCAAGGAGGACGTGGGTATAAACTTCTTTATATTTCAGTGGCTTTTTGGCTGATGGGTGGGTATACTGTAAACCTCAAGAAAAAGATGTGGGTATACCCCTATATACTTGCGTATACCCTCAACTACACCACTGACTGGCTCCCTAATTGGCACTCAGTCATCAAAACTTTGAGAACGCCTGCTTTGGTATCTCTGGGTCAACATGTCTACGTGTTTTGAGGTAGACCTGATCGTCTGTGATCTAATGAACTCATTCATTTACAGTAACACATCCAAGGTAAGTGAAGCAAATGCTTTATAAAATACACATAAGCCTGAACTGCAGTTAAAAAAAGTACCATCATTTTCCCATGGACTTGTAGTTGTAGTTTTCCTTGACAACCAGCAGGTGGAGCACTAACACAGATTTGGCCTCATCCTGGTCTTGGATTTGCTGCATTATGTGGGATGCTCTTAGAGAGATACAGTGCCAGAAAATTAGGGTTTAGGGTTTTAATATGGGGTCAGTTCAGCTGTTATATTGACATTGGCATGTTATGACAGATTGCAAACATTGGACTTCAATGAAAAAGATATTCATTGCATTATTAAGTTAGATTCTTGACGAAAGTCCAAATATGTTTACCAGAGCTGGGCTTGGTTTGATGTGTCCAAAAGTGTATTTTTCCTTTATACAACATGCTTTATATCACAGCTGATCAGATTAAATATATTAAGCCTCACAAATCAGGATAATAGTTCCAACATTTTTGTTTTGGTCCAGCAGCACTTCTGTGTTGCAGTCTATCCTGTGGATTAGTGGACAGTTATGTGATATTCCCTGGATGTAGTCCATGTGGTGTTTTACTTGCACAGTTATGAATCTCTGATGTACCTGTGTGAAACTCCTTTGCACAGCTCTTTAAATCAGCAATCAGTCCTCATCAAAAGACGCCATCTCTGTGTTGCTATTTGCAAGCATGGATCAAAGAGGTCAAATGCACGTAGGCCTGAAAATGAATAATGACTGTAATATTGTTAAGAAAAAAATGGAGAAAACTCCCTTAGAAAATGTCTCTCTCTTTTATTTTCACAGTATTTCAACAGGACATCTGAAATAGAGGGTAAAGCATGCAGGTGCAGAGTGTAGTAGGGTTTGTTATCTTTAGAAAAATCATCTTTGGAGAAAAGAATACAGCTCATGCAGTGATATGTTTGCTTACCTTTTTTGGCACATACCATAATTATGTAAAGTATCAATGAATGACACAGGCATGTAACACAAATTAGGGTTGAACTGGTTCCTACTGATAGCTATATTTAGTAATTTAGTATATTAATTTGACCAAAAGTTGTGTTGATTGATACAATTATTTCCTTTTTATGCATGTGTTTAATGTTTTTAGAGCATTTTGCAAACAAAATGTATCATTTGGCCTGTGCCTTTCAGTTCAGGCTTATTTTGAAAATGTAACTTCTCAGTGCACAGATTAAAAAAAAAAAATCTTTATTTTACATTTCATTGTGAACATAGAGACAATAATATGAGAGAACATGATGGAAGATCAGAGAATAAGGGACAACAGAGAGAAATATAATGCCAGGGGTTACTACAAACACATTCTGATACAGATAAATAAAAGATACACAATAAAATTGTACCAAAATAATTTAACACTATAATAGAATCATAAACTTGAAGCACAAATTTAGGGTTCTCACAACTGTTCTATTGCCTGAGGTATATAAAGTCCTGATATAGGATTCTGCTTCCTTTTTAAAGGTTTAGAAAGAGGCTTTGATTTTTAATACCTTATATTTATGGGTATAAAACTTGGCCAGCATTATGAAGAGATTACACAGAAAAACATTCATACAGTACATCCTTTAGATACAAAAGTATCACAGATATAGTCCAATATTAAGCAACAGGCAGACTCTGAGTGTGTGTTCTCAAATCCAGAACAAATGGGAGACAGTCTATGGGTGCATGTTACAGAAAGTGCTTATGGTGTCAATGTCCTTCTTGAACCTGACTAAAAATAACTTGACAGGGTAACAGCGATGAATGTGCTTAAAGGAAATCTCATTAACTTTATAAACCAGTAGATATCTATTAGACTATATTTTTACCCACAAAGGCTCTGAACAAGCTTATTTTTTATTTTTTATTTTATTATATTATTAATACCATTTCTGAACTGTCAATAAATAAATATTTTCTTTTCTAACACACTTCCCTGTTGCTCAATACACAGATATGTTAAAGCGAATGCGAGAAACTGTGATTCACCACCTGGCGGAGTGACGCAAATCAAACGCACCCACTCGCTGCGTCAAAGCAGGTGCATGCTGGTCCCGCCTAAATACAAAATGCGGGTTGTGCGTGTGGCGGACTCGCGTGGACCCTCTAGCGGTGACCTTTACATTTGTTTTGGAACTTTTACCTTTAGTAAGATGCTTGAGACCTTTCTGTTGTTTGGGACAGTTTTTCCTGTCACAGCTGGGACTGTTTCAGCTGGGAACATTTTGAGTGTGAGGAGCGGGGCGGGACTGAGAGGCTGAGAGGACAGTTAGGCTACATTTGACACCGAAAATTAAGCAGCAAAGTTTAACCTGGAGCAAATTGGGGAGGTGCCACAGACTGGCAGAAGGAGGTCCAGACATGTGAGTACAACAACAAACTTATTTATGGATGTATGCGAGACAGTGTTACATTTCTATGACGCTAGCTCGCTGTACAGAGGAGGTTGTCAGTGACGTAGTGTGCGTGTGATGCAGGACAGGTGTGTAAAACTGCGCAGCTGTAATTGTGCTTCAGTGTGTGTGTAAGTGGGCTGCAGCTGCTGTTGGGTTTATGTCTTTACATCTATGTTGGCTTTGTGATACTTTATATTGCTGTTAAGGTGGCAGGTTATCAGTGTGGGGAAGCTACTTTGAAGACACTGAATTTTTTTCTCCTGCAAAACACTATTTAGAGGTAGCCTATAGCTACCTGAGACCCGAACTTTTGTTGGTTTGCAATTTTAATTTCTTCTTGCTGTTTGGGATCAGTCGGATCTGATAAATATAAGAAACTAAACATGGTCAACAATAATGAAGTCCCAATGTCCTCAAACAAGTACTTCCTAATTGTTGACCTTCTTGGCAGAGATGGCCGCCATCTTGTTTGTACATGGACTAGTTTATTGTGGTCTTACTGCCACTAGATGGCACAAAAAGTGTCCGCGAAGGAGGACAACAGGTCTAAGTTAAGCACAATGAAGTATAAGGTGCAGGAAACAAAAACTGTGATGTCTTCATATGAGGACACAGGGTCTCAGGAGGATAGTCATACCAGAAAACGACAACATGCCAGAGGCGTTAAAAGTCCATTCATCTTTAGTAAGTAATTTTTGTTCTCTGCATCTTCTAATAAGGTGCCATGTTGCTTGAGTCAGAAAATAAACAGATTAAAGCAGGGTTTGGAGTCAGACCATTTAAATTTATGGATATGGATTTTACCAAGAACGGTAAGGATAGAATAGAATAGACTTTATTGTCATTGCACAAAAAGTACAACAAAATTTGCTGTGCCATGCCTCAATATAAAAAATAAAGTTATAAGTACACCACACATACACGTACACAATCATCCCAAATCGATAAATTTAGAAAATAACGTGAAAAGCAGTATTGCACAAGTTGTCCCATTATTGCACATTGAGTTAATCTGAATGATACAATGGTGGGGCAGTGTTTGATTCTGTTCAGTTCAGTGATGGCTCTTGGATAAAAGCTGTCCTTCAGTCTGGAGGTGCAAGCTTTGAGTGCTCTGTAGCACCTCCCAGAGGGTAACAGGTGATGACAGGGTGGGTTGCATCTTTCAAGATGTTTTTAGTTCTGCAGAGAAGAAGTAGAGTCCATAAGAAGTAGATCCACTGTTGAGCCTTTTTAACAAGGGCAGAGGAGCTGTTCGTCCATGTGAGGTCCTCACTGCTGTAAGTCCCCAGAAACTTTAAGCTGGTGACCCTCTCCACTTCCGCTCTCGTGATGGTTAGGGGAGCATGGTCCTCACGGTGTCTCCTGGAGTCAATAATGACTTCTTTTGTGTTTTTGATGTTCAGTGTGAGGTTATTGTCCATGCACCAGTCTGTCAGCCTGTCTG